TATCTTGACCATTCTCTCCAGGGCAGACTTGGCTCAGCTTTTTTAAAAATTAAGATTGTGAAAAATTGTAGGCACATGGTGGGGACTGTGCTCATCAAGCAGGGATAACAAGTAACCAAAGAACTGAAAAGCTGGTCGTCAAGTTTTTTATTAGGGAGAATTTCCTTCCGTAGAATGCTCTCTGCTCCGTCACCCCCCCCCCGGTTCCTGCTGTATCACCACAATCAAGAATGGTTGTGTCTTTCAAAGTCTTGTTGGGAGGATAGGCATGGGGATCATCCAGCCACACAAGTGACTCCAGTGCCCATCATCCCTAATTCGTCGAACAGCCAACAAGGAAGGGTCAGCTGTTCCCCAATCCTGCTCTGATGCTTTGCCATGGGCACCAAGGCACAGGCCAGGCGGCTCTCCCCTTGGCAAGGCATCACAGTCTCTCTCCCCTGCCCACCCTACCGCCTTCTCCAGGAGAGAACACGGCGTCTGTTTTCCTGTTTTATGAATTGACACGGATGTGATAACGTCCAGAGCCAAGGGTAGGCTCTCTCTATTCCCCCACCTCCTCTCCTGATCATTGAAGCAAATGCTGAATTCCTGTCCTGGAGAATATTTAATATTGTGGCTAAAGCCAATCCAGAGCAATCAAAATGAAATAAAATGAAAGCTCGAGCGGTTTCTACGGACAAGTCATCCCAAAGGGGGAGGTGACTAGGGTAAAGGCTCCTGTAATCCGGCTGCCAAGGTCCTCGGGCACGACCCCTTGGCGTGCACAGGGTGAGCCGATCCTCCTGGCCCCCCTCCCTCCGGCATCTCAGGAAGCTGCAAAAACTCGAGACTCACAAATGTAGTTACTCCAAAGGAACCCCCACCCCCTTGAACAGGACTGGAAAACACTGATACCAGCGCTGGTTCCAAGGCAGCCTTAATTGGAGAATTATTTGCAAATCTTTTCTTGGCAACGGCACAATCTCTCTGTGTTGGATTGAAAGGCTGCCAGGCAGATTTTCAAGTGAAAAGGCAGCAATAAAAAAGGAGAACCAGCTTCTCTGCTCCCTCCTCCCCTCTTCCTCCCCCCCCAACAGCTGCAACAAGCTTCGGCGCTTTTGTTTTTATCTTTGCTGTGCACGGGGGCCGTCTTTCCCCCATTCTGAATCCAAACTCGAGTAATTACTGCTCATAGTTGCAGTCTCAGAACAGCTGTGACCCCCTTTCCCTCCAATTTCCTTCAATGCAGGCCAGTTCCCATAAAAATTCACATGGAGGGCCGTTACAGAATCCCACCATTCTTGCAGTCATCAGCCAAGGGATGCGTCTGCATCAGGCTCTGGGCTCAAAAGGCACGCCAAGGATGCCCGCATCCCCTCGCCTGCCATGGAGAGAGGCACACTTCCAGTGAGGTTATGCCTCTCACCGCAGATGGGGTGCTCCGGGTCCCTCTCCCCATTGTTATGCAAGAGGCACGGAAGAGGAAAGCAACACGAGGTGGGTACGAAGCTGGCTGGATCGCTCAGTGAGTTAGGCATCTGGCTGAGAAGCCAGAGGCTGGGAGTTCGATTCCCCCACTGGTCCTCTTGCAAGAAGAGCCCGTCTGGGTGGCCTTGGGCAAGCTGAACCCTCCCGGAAGAAGGGAACCGTAAACCACTTCTGATCACTCTCTACCTAGAAACCCCTGAAGAGGGTCGCCATAAATAAGAATTGACTTTACTGCACATCATCATCATTGTGATCATTGTACGGCCCCTGCAGGTACTTCCCGCGAGTGCCTTTGCCTGGAGGGGAAATGAAAATGGCATGCGAACATATGAAATTGCCATGTTTTCTTCAGGACACCAGGTTGGAGGTAACCCATTCCCTGAGGTTTCAGGGTCCACCCCAGAGAAGAGAATGTCACAGAGGGGTGTCTTTATGATGCCTTGGAGTTTGGAAGGGAACTTGGTTGGGAGACAGCCATGAGAGAGGAATCTGGAGAAGTGGTGTCCACTGGAACCCAGTGACTCAGGTGGTATCTCCACCCAGGTGGCAGCCAGCCAGATAGGAAACGGTGCCCAGCAGCTCCAGGGGTTGCCACCTTTCCCCTTATAAAGACACCTGTGAGGGTACCTCGCGCATAGAGATCCTCGTTTCTCTTCCTTCACTACTGCCGACCCTGAGAGTAGCAATTCTGAGACGCACCGCGATGGAGCTGTCACGGCTCTCTTCATGAAGCTCAGGTGGCGTGAGGTGGGCATGGGCCAGGAAGGATGGAGGAATGTCCAGATGGGATCTTGGCCCCTTCCTGAGCGCACCTGCCTCGTCTCTCCTTCTGCCTGGAGAGGGGAGGCTGGAGGCAGCATCGCTGAGCAAGGAGCTGGCGAGTCCCTGTCCTTCTGTCAGCAAAGGTCCATGAACGGGCTCACCTCCCTTCGGCCACAAAGTCTTGTGATCTCTGAACATTAGCACTTGGGGGCAAGACCTCCAGCGAAATGAAAGATATGCCAGTCATCTGAGATGGGTTCCTCTGGAGCACCCATATGCTGCTGGCCTCCTAGGCGCCTTGCGGCCAAAGCTCTGGAAGATGATGGCTCTCTACCTGGGCAGAATGTAGGCCCCTCTAGACACCTTCACCTCACAAACCAGGCCTGTTTTGGGCCTCTGTTTCCCTCCCCCCACTTTCCAAGCTGAACTTCCCCACCACTGCCAAAATTCAGTAGCAATTCAGGCACACAGCTGAATTTTTATTTGAATTGTGGAAGTCCTTTTTCTTAAAGTGCAGGAAATGTTTATTTTAATGGGTCTTTACAGTTGGCGGCTGCCATTGCATTCCACTCACAACCTGAAAAAAATCTATACAAAGCAAACCTTTTCTGCTTCCTTGAACAGCATCCGATGGTTGCATTCAGCCCCACTGTTTGGGGAGAGTCGGTTAGGAAATTTGGTTTGTGGCTCATGAGTTTCCCATCCCTCTAATAAACACCCTCATCATCACCATTGTTTGCCTCAATGGGACAGGCTGCCGTTCATAGAATAGAGGCTGGACGTTGCCAGTTAAAAAGATGTGACTCTGGCTAGGAGGAGAAATTTGAGAATCAGGGCATGACCAACGTATGGAATACATACATTTCAAGTCTTAATCCCTAGTGGAGTGCTGAGGAATTGCACCCATTCAGAATGCAAGCCTCAGAAGATGTATCTGGATAATTGCTCATGTCCTGAGTAGGGTGGCCACTGGTCAGGCTGCAAGAAACGGACTGAAGCAGAATGTTGCTCGGTTGCCTCTCATGCAAGCCATGCCCTGAGTGGCGCTTTCTTCATGGTCTATTGCTATGGTTTTGTATATTCCAGTCTTTGTGCCTTAAACAAGAGCAGATCCTTAGACCGAGCAAAGCTACCCGTCCAGACTAACCATCCAAAGGAATTAAATTTATGGGCTTCAATAAGCTATTTTCACTCGGTGGATAGGAACCGGAGGTGCCTTGCATGGAAAGCCAGGGGGCAGAACAACTTAACACAATGCGGGATGTCACAGGAGAAGACTGTGGTAGAGCTCAAAATAACCTTGTGGGTTGTTTTTTTTGCCCACCACAAAATCAGCCCAAATTAGCGACTTCCTGTCTAAACAAAGATTTGTCCTTGCTCTGATTCTGTGGAATCTTAAACCATTTCCTCCCTGATACATCTCGGGTTGGCCTTGGGCAGTAACTCCGTTTTTTGTTTTTTGTTTTAAGAAGGGGCTGCTTGGGCTTCCCATGAGCAGCGGTTGCTTCTGCAGAGCCCACATGGCAGAGCCAGTCCACGGAGAGGCCGTGAATCCAGCCGAGAGGACCCCAAGCCTCAGTCCAGCATTTTGGCCCTCGGGCAGTTGACTTCCATCCACGTCCTGTCCATACTCGGAAGGGAGGCAGGCACGGAGGCGAAGGCTCTCCCTCTCTCTCTGTTTCGGAGGGCAAGCCCTGCTGACTAAAGGCAGAGGAGGGGGAGAAAAAAAGAGGACCCCCCCAGCCTGCCCCCCACCCTCGTTCTTCTGCTTGCCGGCTCCCTTCCCCACCCCACCCCCTTCTCTCTCTCTCTCTCTGCAGCTGCAACATTTACTTTAGAGCTCTAAAAATGTTATCTGGCCATCTCGTCCTTTCTCTCGGCCTTGTTCTGCCGCCTTCCATTTTCTTCCCCTCCATTCATCACTTTGAAAAATGACACATTTTTGCTCTCTTGCTATGGGCTGCCCTTCCTTAGCTGCCCTCCATCTTTGTAAGTTGTGATCCTGGACAGGAAATACTCCCATGTTGCTAATTGATGGTGATTATTTAGGGACGTCACCACGAAATGCCCCGGCTGGTCTTTGGCATGACAGATGGGCTTTCTCACAGCAGGCTGCAGCCTTGCTGGTTCCCGAAGTTCATGTCAGCTGGTCCCTCGGTGTGGGTTGATTAACCCCACTGGTGCTGGGCCTGGAGGGCTGCGACCTTGCTGAGCATCCTTTGGGGGGCTTTGAGCTATGATGGGGAAAGGGCACAATGGTCAGGGAGGGGGTCTGTCCCCCACCAGCATCAGGTTTGCGAATGTTGCCATTGGCTCTGATGTTTGGTTGTCTTTGTAAGTGGCCACCGAATGGACCAATGGTTAGGCAACACGATCGGACAGCTTTCAACAGTGGTGGCCCTTTGAGTGGAGGAGAAGGGGACCAATTCATAAAATTCACAAAAATAGGCAGTGTTTTGCAAAAAAAAAAAAAAAAATAGCATTCATTCATTCTTTATTATGCAGTCACAGAGCCCAATTAAACAAAACAGCAATAAGAACAAGATAACAAATAAGTATTGCGAAACACGCGCATATTCAGCAAAAGTAGTCAGATTAATAAGGCCTTCTATGCACACAGAAATAAGGCATTTAACCACAACAAGATAACAAATAAGTATTGCGAAACATGCGCATATTCAGCAAAAGTAGTCAGTCAAATTAATAAGGCCTTCTATGCACATAGAAATAAGGCATTTAACCATACCCTCCTTGATCGCCATTTGCAGGGATCATCGGCACCTTCAGGAGAAATTGCAGCTGGGGAACTGGTTAGCAGGAAAGGGAAGAGAGGGTTCGACCTCCACCATCGGAAGGCCGAAGCGCTGGCCCAGATTAGAGTCCTGGCTGGTTGGTTTCCTTTCAGAAAGAAAAGAAGAGAATAGCAGGCGAGCAGTCCAAAGATGCTTTGACTGATGTGGTGATCCATGGGGTAGGTTGTGAACACAAGTCTCTAGGAAAACCCCACCATTTATAAAGCCCATATCATAGCATGCACCATTTGGCGGATGGTTGAGTTTGATCCTCAATTTCTCCTGCCCCAGCCACTGAAGATGGGTAGGAAGAATGGCGGCCAAGTGTGGCCGGGAAGGGGGAAATGAGAGAGGGGGAGGCACAGGAGGTGGCATCTTCTCGCTGGGAATCGTGTTGGAAATCCCACTTCTGTGCCTTTGGCCCGGCCACCTTGGCGAGTGCATGAGCTCACTGCTTATGAAGCCGGGATTAACAGCTCTGGTGTCCTCACGCTCAGCTTGCCGGCTAATAGAACCCACCTGGCCAGCTGTTGGCTCAATCTCTCTTAATGCTGCCCGGCTTTAGTACTGCTGGGGCTTTATTTACAAGTTCATGATGTTTCCCCATACTGCTGGTGGGTGGGTGTGAGGGTGTGCATGCACGCGGGCATATAGGGGTGGAAGCCTTGTGGGATCAGCGAGAAACACTGCACCTCCATGTGACTCGGTCTCACTTTTTGGACTTCCGGCAGAGAATCTACGGCTCAAGGAATGACAGTTTGCATCTCTTCTCTGGTGGCCGAGGAGAGGAAAGCGAAGGGACCGTCTCAAAGCTAGTGTTACTTTGTGGTTTCTTTGCTTGTTTCCCTGATATCCCTTCCGAAGGCCCACAGATATGACTGGGTGTGGCTCTTGCTTTTAAAACCAAGCGGAGTTGTGTGAGCACAGCTTAAATCGAAAACACACAGATACATGGCATGGGACGATTTTGCCACTTGATCATAAAATCTTGAACCTGCTGGCGAACCATGCAGACGAATTTCCACAAAGCCTCAGTATGTTCAGTTTTATGTTTGTATAAAAATCAAACTGTTTCCTGTGACCTTTGCTTCTTTCTGTGCTGGCTCAGATTCCCAGCAGGGCCATGTTACTCATACCTACCGGCCAGGTAGCTATCAAAATGAGGAATCCGTCACCACAAAAGAGGGGATGAATTTGATGCAGTACCACAAATGTGACCAGATCGGCAAGGCTTCAAATTTAAGCCCTCAAAAGGTATTCCAAGCTGCCTTCTTTTTACTCTGTGCAATTTTTTTTAATTGCCAGGGTTTTTCCCATCACGTTTATGAAGGTATTTCAAATTTTTGCAAAGATATCTCTCAAATGCAAAGATGAACTTACAAAAAACCCCCCACATGTTGTATTTCATGTATTGCAATAGGAAGAGCAACCCTGAAGTATGGAGTAGGAAGACAGAACCCCAGGGAATCTAAATGGAAATATTCAGATGTCCCTGTGATGTCACCAGGCTTTACTTTCTCCTGTTGGGATTTCCATTAATCAAAGCTGGTTGGCCATAGAGTGACCTGCTCCACAAGGTCATCTGCTGATAGTCATCCCTGGTCTCCCCCAGGGCCCATATCAAATGCTGGGAAAATATCCCTGGGGAGTAACCTTGGAAGCGTGAACGCTCACTCCTGCAGCTGTTGCCTGCTTGGTGCTCAGCTTTAAGCTGCCATTAGGGGAAACCATATCTGGAGACCCTGAAGGGTTTTTCTGAGCTGTGATCAAATCTCATATGAATTCACTCCTTCCGTTGCATCTCAAACCATCCAGAGAACACTTTGTACATGCCAAGTCAATCTCTCTTTGAAAAGGGATCCAGAGTCTTTCTTGGGGCTTTTTATAGTTTATTTTATGTATTCCACTTTATACCTGGGTCATGTAGGGGAAGAAAAAGCAATGCCAACACAGCCACAACACAGTGAAGTGCAGGGAAGCCCAACGAACAACATACCATCAAGAAACAAGAAAACCTTGGGAGGTTGTTATTTCTGCAGTGGGACCACTTTCCCAAGGTGCTACCATGGTCTGGCAGACAAATCGGCCCCCTCCTCTTTATCTCTCAGCGAAATCCTGGCTCCTGTTTGGATCTCTGGCTGTGACCAGCCTCAGGGGTCGGGTGGTTCCCTACAATCCTCAGAGAGAGCACGACAACACGTGAGCTCCATTGTGACTTTGCCGCCTTTCCAGGCTGGTTTCTTGTTATTTTTGGCATCTCTGAACAGCTCCCTCTGTGGAGCAGGATGAAGCCCACAGCCCCTTGGTGGTGGTGGTGGTGGTGGTGGGAGCAGCAGCGAGGGGGCTGGTTGCTAGATGAGGTTTCCTGCTGAGGATCGTTCAAGGGCAGTCCTCCTACCAGATCTAATTACATAAACAATGTTGTTCTGCTTCTCCAAATAAACACAGCAAGTTTTGTGGATGGGAAATTAGGGAGGAGAAAGCTTGCTAATGGGCTCCTTAGCTGCAGGGGTAAACAGATGGTTTGAAAAGGCCCCAGCCGCCCCCAACATCTTTGGTCTAGCCTCCTCTTTCCCCCCCATGATGGCTCTCTTTCCTCCCCGCCACCGTTTTCCTCCCGCCTGCTCGGCCCTGCAGCCACTGGAACAGCCATGAATAACGTTTGCAGTCTAATCACAACCTGGGAGGGGTGTCAGGGGAGCTTCCGTAGACTTCACTCCACTGGTCTGGTTTCCCCTCTTCATTTAGGGGTTTACATCGGGAGCATCTGGTCAGGATCCCACGAAAGGCAGAAAGGATGGGCAGGGAAAGAGGAGCAAGAGAAAGGGCGAGAGTTGAGAAAGAAGGAGAGCAAAGGGAGGCTTCGTCAGGGAGATGCAGAACTTAGCAGGGGTTGGAAAGACGCATGGCACCCCTGTACATATGAGAGAAAGATGGCCTCTTGGAAAATTCATAAGGGATCTACCGACAGAACTGTGGTCCTCCAAAAGAACCAGACTCCCAAAGGCCGGCCTTGTTTCCCCACAACAAGTAAATCTCTTCTGCAGGTGCCTCTGGTAGGGAGCCTTCCCGCCTACTTGCTTGGAAAGTGGCGGGGGCCTTTCCTTGGCCACGCTCCCCAAGACAACACACAGGCCTACACACAAATGAAGCAAGTGGACTCCCAGCTTGGAAAACAATATATATCTGGATGGAGTCCGTTTGCTGTTTGCTTGGAGTCCGTTTGCCTTACATCTCTGTGCAGTGGATGATGCTTTCGAAAGTAAAGGACTACGTGCGCCCACTGCATTGTTCCACACTTCACTACGTTCCCTACGATAATATGTGATAATGTCTAGCTTGATATATTCCATATTATACCGGGTTATTTCCCTTTGCCCTTGAAATAAATAATTTTTTTTTAAAAAAAATGTTCTCTACTAAGGTAAACTTGATTGGCGTATACTTGACGGTGCATATTTCCTGGTGTAGTTTGGGGCTGCCGGGAGGGGGGGGATGGACTGCCAACCAGCGCCAGCAGAAGTCTCCCGTGAGGACATGCGCTCAAGGACCAGCTTGGGAAGTAGGCGGGCGGGAAACACTTCCTTGATTCCCAAGCGCTTCTCTGAATGACAGGGGACCACAATCTCCTGCTGGGTCACAGCCAAGGTGTTACATGGAAGAAAACAAGCAGCGCATATTTAAAGCCTCCAGTTCTGAAGTGCCAGGCATTCTTGTCACATGAATTCACTTCTTTCGCAGGGAGGCCCTTTATCAGAGCGAAAGCATCTCCCTCCTTCCATCTCCTTGCGCCTCAGGTTACGCGAAGGCCCATTAGCTCTCATGTCTCTGTCACATCCAATCTAAGCCACAGGACCGTTTGGGATGGATGGGTGACTGTTTTTGTCCCTTTCCCCATTGATGGAGAAAGCAGCGAGGGAGTGGCAGGGGGTGGGGGACGGAGGAAGCCAGGGACAAAAGAAGCCTGCTTGTGTGCGGAGGCTGTAGGCCGTTGCATCTCATCTGAGGAAAACCGGCTGGCCAGGCAAGAACAGATAAGCCAGTCTTTTCAGTTGCAAATATCAAAGGCCCTATGGGTTGCACTGAACAAGTTTTTCTGGATCCAGAGTGGGCATGTGGGCAGGGCACTCTTCCGGTGCAAAAGCCCTCATGCCCTTGTTTAATGAAAATCCATCATGCTGGAATGTTACACCCTTTTTTCCCTTATTTGCTGGGAAGACTGTCAGTAGGATGAGATTTTTGGATTTTTTTTTGTGTTATCAGCCCCATAATTCTCCATTCTGGGAGTTCTATCTTATAAAACAACTAAAGGTGGCTCACTGGGGAGAAAAGCCCAAACTCGGGGACCCCCTTGGGGCCAAGCTAGGCCAAGCTCCATCTTGTTTCCTGTTCAGAAAGAAAGCTCCCAGCTAACACCTGGGCCGGAACAGGAATTTTGGGTGGTGCTAGGTCTCAAAGCCTTCCTCCAGTTTAGGACTTTTTCCAAGGTGAGTCACATTTAGATTTCTGTAAGGTATCTGTCTGTCAGGTAGGACTCCCAGAAGGGAGGATTCTGGGATCTGTGGAGCAAAACACCTGAAAATCCCATCCCTAGAATTTCCTCCCGAGGCCTCAGAGGTGGGTGAAGCATCCTTCTTAGGTCCAAGAGTGCCTGATAAATGGCGTGGCTCAGTTTCAGCATCTGTTCAGTGCAGCGCAGTACCCCAACAGGAAAGGAGAGGGGCAGACAGGCAGACAGGGAAGGGGCTTTTACAGGAAATACAATCTGAGGAGCCTCGCTCGCTCGCTCGCTCATGTGGCGGCGACTGCCGCACACACGTCTGGCACTATTGAATCACAAGCCTAAGTAGCTTCCTCTTGGCCTCACAGGGGAGCTGCTTTTATGTTCCACTGAAAAGGTACCCTGCTCAAACAAGCAGAGACATAATGGGGGAGAGCATCCATTAAACAGGAGGAAACGAGGGCATGTTAAACATTAAAGATTCATGGGGGCGGGGGCTTGTCAGCTTGTTAATGCATTTGTGTTTGCAAAATAACTATCACTTGCAAGCGAGGCTGGGAAAGGTATTGAGCTTGAAAGAGGGGTGCCGAGAAAGGTCTCCGAGTCAAAAGAAGAGGGAGGAGCGTCAGGGACGCCTGGGAGGAAGGATGGGCTGGTCTGCTCAGTTCAGAGGTCTTGTGTAAGGCGGGTTGGACAACATGGCTCAGTCCAAGGACCTGTATTCCTTCCCTCAAGAAGCCGCAAAGGCTGCCAAATTTATTTATTTTTTTAAATTCCACTTCCACTAAAAAAAAGTGTACTTGGGGGTGTTAAAGAATACAAGTGACACACTGTAGTTAAAAGCTGAATTGGCATTTTTTGAGTCTTCCTGGAGGTGGAAGCGTTTTTTTGTTTCAATTTATTTTTGAAGAAACAGAGGGATTCAGAATTTTAGGGTTGGGTTAATGAAAGCTGCAGAAAACAGAAAAAGTATGGTCCCTGTGCCACACTAAGTCAACTCTTGCTTTAAGATTAAACGAAGAACACAAGACTGGCCAAAGAAAGTCAAGATGGAGGGTTATACGAACCTAAAAACTTTTGCTAATGCAGGAGAATTCTCTTTCAGGCCATGTTGTTGTTGTTGTTGTTGTTGTTGTTGTTGTTGTTGTTGTTGTTGTTGTTGTTGTTGTTGTTGTTGTTGTTGTTGTTGTTGTATACCATCACTTTCTGAGTTATAGGGACCCCAGCAGGTTTGTGAGACATTCAATGAGTAGTTCCCCATTTCCACTCACCCACCTAAGCCGAGTGGGGATTTCAACCGAGGTCTCCTGAGTCCTGGTCTATCCATTACACCATGCTGGCTCTAAGTAGACCACTGAGAGCTAAATATATTTCAAAGTGCCGTGTTGTATTTCTAGCACCACTATTGTTCCATTAAGACATGCTATACATCTGTAAAAACATACATGTGAAAGTTTCCAGATGGAGGCCTCCTCACAAGAGCAATTAGAAGACAATGTGCAGCTATTTCATCATGTGCTTCTTAATGGACTTTATGCAATCAGGGACATGATGGAAGAAGCAGCTGGAAATTGAGGGCGGGGGGTGGAGGACAAGTGGAGACAACGTTGTCTGAAGCCCATGTGAAATTTGGTGAACTAGACTGGGCAAAAGCTAGGTCAACGCCTGAGCTGCAGATTAAATATGGATATATAATCACCTGATCAGCACTTTAAATGATCAGA